CGAATAATGTCTGCGAGCTACGACAACCGGTGAGTGAGATCCTCGGCCAGGCCGCAATCCCGTCACACAGGCCCTCACCCACTAACTATCCCATACAGGCCCTCACCCACTAACTATCCCATACAGGCCGCAATCCCTCACACGGCCCTCATTCTCCCCGCCATCACCTCTCACCCACCCATTATCCCATCTCTTTTCACACACGTCCCTCACCCACTAACTATCCCAAGCCCCTCACACACGGCCTCGATGTTCCCGGACCGTCCCATCCCCCTCACACAGGGCCCCATCCTGTCCATTACCCAGGGCCTCACCCACTATCCATCCTCTCACCCACCAACTATCCCGATTCCCTCACACACGGCCTCCAGCTCCCCCTCACCCACCAACTATCCCATCCTCAGCCAATATCCCATACACGGCCCTCACCCACCAACTATCCCATCCTCCGCCATTATCCCATACACGGCTTCGATATCCCCCCCATTATCCCATCCCCCTCACAGAGGGCCTCACTCTCTCCACCCTGTCTATTACCCAGGGCTTCCTTCATCCATCCTGTCCCTCCACCCGGCCTCCCCGCACTATGTTGTCTCCCCCGGTACCAGCTCCCATTCTGGGTTCCTCCAGGACTGTCCACCCGCTCCCCGTGTGAGGTTCCCTGGGTGTCTGCTCATATCTCGGGCTAGGTGTCGCTGTCTGGCTCCCGCCATGTTATTTCCCGCACACAGTCATTCCCCCACCCCGTGGCCGGTCTCGGTATCTCCGTCATTGCTGGCTCTCTCCCCCCGGGGCCGGTCTCGGTATCTCCGTCATTCCTGGCTCTCTCCCCCCGGGGCCGGTCTCGGTATCTCCGTCATTGCTGGCTCTCCCCCCGGGGCCGGTCTCGGTATCTCCGTCATTCCTGGCTCTCTCCCCCCGGGGCCGGTCTCGGTATCTCCGTCATTCCTGGCTCTCTCCCCCCGGGGCCGGTCTCGGTATCTCCGTCATTCCTGGCTCTCTCCCCCCGGGGCCGGTCTCGGTATCTCCGTCATTGCTGGCTCTCTTCCCCCGGGGCCGGTCTCGGTATCTCCGTCATTGCTGGCTCTCTCCCCCCGGGGCCGGTCTCGGTATCTCCGTCATTCCTGGCTCTCTCCCCCCGGGGCCGGTCTCGGTATCTCCGTCATTGCTGGCTCTCCCCCCGGGGCCGGTCTCGGTATCTCCGTCATTCCTGGCTCTCTCCCCCCGGGGCCGGTCTCGGTATCTCCGTCATTCCTGGCTCTCTCCCCCCGGGGCCGGTCTCGGTATCTCCGTCATTCCTGGCTCTCTCCCCCCGGGGCCGGTCTCGGTATCTCCGTCATTGCTGGCTCTCTTCCCCCGGGGCCGGTCTCGGTATTATCTATCGGTGTCCGGCTCAGTCTTTATTTCCCCGGTTGATATTCTCCCTCCGAGATTTCTTTTTCCCCTCCCACGTGTGCCTCGATGGCAGCCTCCGCCCGGGAGCACGTGGCCGGCTAGAAGGAGGGGGGGCAGGACAAGATGGCGGCGCAGTCCTGCGGGGAGTCAATTGGATCTAAGATGGCGGCCATGACTTCCGGTGCTGCACGTGGCCGGGAGGGGGGTCTGCGCCAAACCCAGCACGTACGCCCTACAGCCGTGATACTAATGGGTTAAATCCTCACTACAGCCGTGATCCTGGGTGGGCCGTCTACTAATGGGTTAAATCCTCACTACAGCCGTGATCCTGGGTGGGCCGGCTACTAATGGGTTAAATCCTCACTACTGCCGTGATCCTGGGTGGGCCGGCTACTAATGGGTTAAATCCTCACTACAGCCGTGATCCTGGGTGGGCCGGCTACTAATGGGTTAAATCCTCACTACAGCCGTGATCCTGGGTGGGCCGGCTACTAATGGGTTAAATCCTGTATAGAGAATTTAACTCATTAATATTTATTAATGAGTAACATGGATGATTTAAATCCTTAATAGCCATGCCACTGGGTTGGCTTGCAATCAATGGGTTAATGGTCATGTTACTCAGTGGGCTGGGTGTTAATGGAAACCCACCCAGTAATAGAGTAGCTTAACAATACTGTAACACTAGTATAGTGGATTTAACCTATTAATGGCCAACCCAGCTAATGGCTGTATAGAAAATGTGATGGATTAAATAACTACTGGAACAGCATGGGTTAACTTATCTGTACAGCCATGTTGCTTGATATTTGCCAATGTAGTGGATCTTGCTTGTGTTGGGAATTGTGGGCAGTGATTAGTCACTGAACCTGTTTGTTTAGATTAGTGCTTTGTGCAGGAATGTGTAATTCCAGCTTACTTTGGGTAATTATGTCTAATGAAGTACACCCTTTTGGCGAACGCCAGACTAGCAATAATCTGAGTGTGTATTAATGTTCTTTCTTTTCTCTGCAGACCTAGAGACAATGGCCCTGAAGGCATGGAGCCTGATGGCATTATTGAGGTAATGTTACATTCCATGTCTGGCATCCTCAAAGCTGTGCCTGATTTTTTTTTTCCCTGTCTGAATCTTCAATTTCTCTCCTACTGCCATTCTGGGTGTCTCCCATAAAGCTTTAAATACATGCCTTGTAAATAATCGCCATATCACTCTACTTTGCAGAGTAACTGGAATGAAGTGGTGGATAGTTTTGACGATATGAACCTGTCTGAATCTCTCCTGAGAGGAATTTATGCTTATGGTTTTGAGAAACCGTCTGCTATCCAGCAACGTGCAATTCTACCTTGTATCAAGGGTGGGTATGGTTTTGGGAAGTGGGTGTTGGTGTCTGTGATTCTGCTTGGTTCTAACCCTTGTCCTTTCCCTCAGGTTATGATGTGATTGCTCAAGCTCAGTCTGGAACTGGGAAAACTGCCACGTTTGCCATTTCTATCCTACAGCAAGTCGAGTTGGATATGAAGGCAACACAGGCCCTGGTCCTCGCTCCGACCAGAGAGTTGGCTCAACAGGTTGGTCTCTCATCCATGTCTGCTGTTATGTCATGTGTCTCTAGCTTTAAAGGATAAGTGTTTAACCAGGAAATGTGCATTCAGATTCTCGGTCTTGCCATGTCTTATCTTTATTACATTAATTTGGAGGGTTTTCTTGAAATGGACACTTATGTAAAGTCTGTCTCATTCTTCTGGATAACAGTGGGGTGGGCTATGCTGGCAAAATACTTCTTACTGGGATTGTCATTAATTGAAGATGACTGACGTGATCACTAGCTTGGATATTTCATCCATGTATCCTTGCAGGGAATGCAGAACTGGCCTGACTAACCAAACTCCAACGGCCTTTATATTGTGTGAAGGGTATTTTTAATCTGGTCATGATTCTTTACAGATCCAGAAGGTAGTGATGGCACTTGGAGACTACATGGGGGCCTCATGCCATGCCTGTATTGGGGGCACAAATGTCAGAGCAGAGGTACAGAAGCTTCAGTCAGAAGCACCACATATAATCGTTGGAACACCAGGCAGAGTGTTTGACATGCTGAATCGGCGCTATCTCTGTAAGTATTCCCTGACCACTTTTAATGCTGTGCAAAGCCCCACGCACCTATCTGTGGAATGTGCAAGATGGCAAGTGGTGCTGTGTACATGGCTTTGTCCAGCTTTTCTGTAGTTCTTGTCTCTAATACAGACTATAGAAACTGAGTCTCTGTTCTATAAATAGTTCCCAAGGTAACATATTTCCATTCTTTCAGCTCCTAAATATATAAAGATGTTTGTTCTGGATGAAGCTGACGAAATGTTGAGTCGAGGCTTCAAAGATCAGATCTACGATATCTTTCAGAAACTGAGCAGCAATGCCCAGGTAAGCTATTGCCCTGTGGATTGCCACCTGACCCGGGCAGTTTTATGATGAAAAGTGCGTGTCATATGACCCCCATGGTAACCTGCTTCTGTACTATTCAGACTGTGTCTTGCAGTCTGTATCTGTATGGTGCAATGCATTGTGGGGAGCTGATTTTGGCTAAATCTGAAAACTACCCATAAACTGATCACTCCTTCTTAAAAACGTAACTGGCTGCATGTCCACATTATATACAACATGGGGCCATAACTCAGACTACACCTGTAAGATAATGTCTAGAGATCTGGAGTACCAAAGGTTACATACTCTATTCTGCTCATATTTCATTAAATGGCTACAAGTTCTAACATCATGCTTTCCGTTCAGGTGGTCCTGCTCTCGGCCACTATGCCTTCAGATGTGCTTGAAGTTACAAAGAAATTTATGAGAGACCCGATCCGCATTCTCGTAAAGAAGGAAGAACTGACCCTGGAGGGTATCAGGCAATTCTACGTGAACGTGGAGAGGGAGGTGAGCATTGACTACTCTATGAATTAGTCTCTAAACCCCTGTCACTGGGCAAGGACTCATCTCATGTGATGTAGATTCTTATATCTGGCGGGGGCAGAGTGATCTCCCATATTCATCCCAGCGGATCAGCACTGTGGTTGACAGCTGGTTCATGCTATGGGGACAGCCTTGTGTTTCCGTGTATGTAAATATGCCTCATGTGTGCTTCTGCTGATGTTAGTTAATCTTTCTCAGGAATGGAAGCTGGACACACTATGTGACTTGTATGAGACCCTGACCATTACCCAAGCTGTAATCTTTATAAACACTCGCAGGAAAGTGGACTGGCTCACTGAGAAAATGCATGCTCGGGACTTCACAGTCTCTGCCCTGGTGAGTATAGCTCTCAATTCTGGCTAAAACCCCCCTGTCACTGGGCAAGGACTTGTCATACATGGCATGACTTCTTATATCTGACAGGGGCAAAGCATCTCAACCCATATTCATCCCAGCGGGTCAGTATGGTGACTGTCAGCTGGTTCATGCTGTGGGGACAGTGTCACTAACTCAAGATATAATCTAACAAGTGCTTTCCTTGCTTAGCATGGTGACATGGACCAGAAAGAGCGAGATGTAATTATGAGAGAGTTCCGATCTGGATCAAGTCGTGTCCTGATTACAACAGATTTGCTGGTAGGTCTGGGTTGTGATGTTTGCTGAGGTGGCAGCTTTGTATGGCAGAAAGCCTAATTATTTTTTTTTTTTTTTTATGCAGGCCAGAGGGATTGATGTGCAGCAGGTATCGCTGGTTATAAACTATGACTTACCCACCAACAGAGAGAACTACATTCACAGGTAGGTGTGCAAGTCACTGCATGCCAAGGGTACCCTCTCTGCCCAGCTCTTGTGTTGGAGACAGACTGAAAACCTTTGGTAGAATAAAAGACCGTGCTCCACTGCAGTAACCCTTGTGGTGGTTTTCTGCAACTTTAACATGGTGTACACATGGCATGCCAACTCCGCATTCTCTATACATATGACACCTGTAGAAATTGCTAACTGCAACATCTCCTTTCTCTCTCAGGATTGGTAGAGGTGGACGATTCGGTAGGAAAGGTGTTGCCATAAACATGGTAACTGAGGAGGACAAGCGTACACTTAAAGACATTGAGACATTCTACAACACAACCATTGAGGAGATGCCAATGAATGTGGCCGACCTTATCTAAAGCTCTCAGTATGGAGAGGAAACTAAAATAAAAAATGAGAAAAAAAATTGAAACTCCTGCACCGGTTCAATCTTCCACAGGGGGTGCAGCAGACATGGGGGTGCTCACCATTGTTTAAAGCCCCATGACACTTGGGACTCGCCCCACAATCCCTGTATGAACATTAAATGATTTCTATTTTCTTTTTGTTTCAAATAAATGTTATTTTGAGGTATTGTGACCGTAAACTCGTTTTGTCTTTTCCTTCTCTGAAGCGAACACTAAAGTCACATCCTGTTTTCCCACCAAATCAGCGGACCAAATACAAACTCCCCGTACACAATCAGGCAGCTCAATTTGATCTTTTTTTACAAAAACAAAATGCCCCCACAAAAAATAGCAAAGTTGTTACAGACAATTTTATTTGCTTTTCTGTATAGTATTTATTAAATAAAAATGTTTTGCAACATAGTTTTGTCTCTTGTCTTAAGATTTTCCCCTCTCCCCATGTATTCCTAGCTTCTCCCCTACAGCAGTATATTGGTGGGAAATGTGTTAACTCTGTAAACAGCAGTGCCATCTGCTGGCAATGCTCCAGTATTACTAGTCAGCCGCTGGAAAATAACTCATGGTGGTCCACCAAATGTCTTCATATTAAGTGTAATGTCTGCAAATGCTTACCTAGCCAGCTGTAGGTGAAAGCCTAGCATTCATCATGGTGTGCTTCAGGAAGCTATTGTCTGCTTTAGGAATGCAGACAGAGTAAATGTAGACATTGTACTGAGAATGCAGGCTTGCTGTCGCTTTTGTATTTTTAGAAGTTGTCGTTACAATTGTCTGACAATGCCATTTTTGGCCTTTATTTAATACTGAAAGTCTTTGATCAACTTTCCTTAGTGATGGGGCGTTCTGCATTGAATGCTAGCAGTACAGTATTTACTCTCCTTGTGGCACCAGCATTTCCTGTGATACTTTGCTATAAGGGCAAGTAACCTTTTTGTAATTAGTATTTACCTAGTTATCATAGCATTTTTGGGGCAATACACATCTTGGAAAGTTAATCTGCAAGCATTTTTGTAGATGCTACTCTTGAGGCAAAGGCGCAGAACACTGATCTTTGGTCACAGCAAACACTTTAAATTTAAATGGTGCACAACACCAGCAGTTGTAGTTTGGGCTCAGTTTTACCTGCATGATTGGGTGCTTTGATCTGCACCTTCATTTCACACTTTGCTGTGTAGTCTGAGGGACAGTAACACACCCCCAATGGAAATCTAATGTGGGCATTCTTATGGGAAGCAGCTTGACGTGAAATCACATGACTCAAGGGAAAAATGCCCTTTAGTGACTTATGCATTGTTAATTAAACCATAAAGTAACCAGAAATGTGAATTTTTAGTCACTGAGTTTAGAAAATTCCTCCAACTCACATTTCCCGCCCAGACATGGCAGCATCACTTATGGGTTATCTCCCAAATCCTTAAAGGGACACTAGTCACCTGAACAACTTAAGCTTAAAGGACCACTATAGTGCCCTGAGGGTGCCCCCACCCTCAGGGTCCCCCTCCCGCCCGGCTCTGGAAGGGGCAAAGGGGTAATATTTTTCCAGCGCTGGGCGGAGAGCTCTCCGCCTCCGATCCTCCCCACCGGCTGAATGCGTGTGCATTCAGCCCGTCGCATAGGAAAGCATTTACAATGCTTTCCTATGGACGCTTGCGTGCTCTCACTGTGAAAATCACAGTGAGAAGCACGCAAGCACCTCTAGTGGCTGTCAATGAGACAGCCACTAGAGGATTAGGGGGAAGGCTTAACCCATTCATAATTATAGCAGTTTCTCTGAAACTGCTATAACTGAAAAAATGGGTTAACCCTAGCTGGACCTGGCACCCAGACCACTTCATTAAGCTGAAGTGGTCTGAGTGCCTAGAGTGGTCCTTTAATGAGGTTCTTCAGGTAAGAACTATAGCTTCCTGCAGTCTTTCTCATGTAAACATTATTTTCTGAGAAAATAATGTTTACATTCAAAGCTAGGGCCACCTCCAGTTGCAGTCACTTAGACTGCCACCAGAGGGACTTCAGAGTTGATTGAGGCATAATATGCCTCAATCCACTCATCTGCTGACAGCAGAGCTCAGGGCAGCACTGCACAAACATCCTGTCTGCATGGGAGTGGCTTGAGTGGACAAGCTGGAGACCGAGGAGGGGAGGATTCAAACTAAACTTATTTAGTGTGAGTGACTGGATGGGTATAGAGGATATGGATGATGAAAGAGTGTCTAATTTTTTTACTACTTGTGTTTGCATAGAATCACTATATAGAGATCTCTATATAGTGTTTTCTATGCAAACCGTTTGGCTGAGGGGCGGGTATAGAAAGCGAGCTGAGGAGAAGCGCCCTGCGATTTTGATGGGAAAGGGGCGTGGCTTAGCAGGGAGCTCGGCACTGGACCGGAGGTAAGTTTTGTTGTTAAAACTTACTCGGAATTTTTTTTTTTTTTTTTTTTGTTATGGCAAGTTCATATAAAAGCAAGAAAGGCTGGGGGACCTGTCTTTCTTGCTTTTTATGTTTTGACTATAGTGTCCCTTTAAAGGTCCACTATAGGCACCCAGACCACTTCAGCTCAATAAGCTTTCCTATGGGTGTACTTAATGCACGTGTGGCTGTCATCGTGCAAGCGCATTCTGCTTTACTCAGGAGGCAACGTCTGAAAGGGAGAGTTCCCCAGCGCCAAGGGAGCCTGGCGCTGGAGAAAGGTTAGTGGCTGAAGGGGTTTTAAGCCCAGCAGGAGGGGGGCCATGGGCTGATTACCATGTTTAACATGGTACTACCAGGGCAAGTTCAGCCTCTCTCCCCTTAAGGAAACTAGTAGACCGGCTGTACCCTTTTTTTCCTAAGGAGTGTGGGAAGCCATGAATTTACCTTCAGTTGGAACCTCCTTCCTTCTTGTACCCTTTCTTTTCCTAAGGCGTGTAGGAAGCCATGAACTTACCTTCAGTTTGAACCTCCTTCCTTCTTCTACCTTTTCTTTTCCTAAGGAGTGTAGGAAGCCATGAACTTACCTTCAGTTGGCACTAACTTCCTTCTTGTACCCTTTCTTTTCCTAAGGCGTGTAGGAAGCCATAAACTTGCCTTCAGTTGGAACCTCCTTCCTTCTTGTACCCTTTCTTTTCCTAAGGAGTGTGGGAAGCCATCAACTTACCTTCAGTTGGAACCTTCTTAGTCACAGTTTGAGTAAGGAGCCCCTACTAGGCTGTCTATGCTCCAGTTTCGCGTTCCTGGAATCCAAGATGGCGGCCTCAACTTCAATGTACCTTATTTAAGCTCTCTCTAATTTTGTACATGCACAATATGACAATCAAACATCAAGGAGTATAGTAGTTTTACCAGGAAAATTAAACTGGTGCAAATATTCTAAGTTCAAATTCCTCTACCTTCTTTTCTGCCTTCTACACAGAGGTAAGTGTTAAAATAAATT